TGACTTATTAATACAGTTTACAGCTGATGTGTTTATTTTTTGGACCAACCAGTTAATAATTGATAGCAGAAGTTTCTTAGTAGGATATTTTTTTATTTTATTTTTTTTTTATACTTATTTTTTATTGAACATTTCTGAACACATACAGTGGAGAGGCATCAATACATTCAACTTCATACACAATGTTGGACAGCCGTGTCCATTTTTAACTGGATACAAGAATGGCATTCTCCTTACGTCTGTAGTCGCTCCATTTTTCCCATTTAACGACAAACTTGTCCTCCTGCAATCTTAGTCTATATGTGATTTTCTCCATTACAAAGATCTCTTCCACAATGCTCAGCCACTGCTCCACCGCAGGGGGGTCCTGACTATACCACAATTTTGTGATGGTTTTCCTTGATGCTGAAAGTAATATTTTTAACAAATATTCATCATCCTTTTGAATTACATCGTGTGTGAGGCATCCCAGGTAGAGTGTTTTACATGATCTGGGTATTCCATATCCCAATATGTTTTTCAAGATAAGGCAAACATTATGCCAGTATGTGGACAGCTTTTGACAAGACCAGAATATGTGCGTGTGGCCCACATCAGACTGACCACAAAGTCTCCAGCATGGCTGCGAACTGGATACCATCCTGGTCCTGATCTTTGGTGTTATAAAAAATCTAATCATATTTTTCCAATTAAATTCCCTCCACACACGGGAGCAGGTGGCTGTGCACTGCATTTTACAAATTTTAAACCATTCCTCCTCGCTTATGTGTTCCTTCAATTCGTCCTCCCATTTTTCTTTAATGTACATAGTAGAAGTCTTCCTGCCTGCCATCAGTCCCTGATACAGTGCTGAAATAACTCGGAATTTATTCCCCTCATAGGCCTTATGAAATATCTCTATTATTTTACTTACGTTGGTTTTTATCTCTTTCTCATAATAATCTTTTATTAGCAGTTTGTAGGTATCCCTTATTTTCTGTTGCGGGGAGTAATTTATTGTTAGGATCTGTGTTTTTTCCACATTAATTTTGTATCCAGAGAATTTCCCATAATCCTCAGGCAAACTTACTGTTTTTAAAAACATTTCATTTGGGTTTTTTAGATAAATCAAAATGTCATCTGCAAACAACCCTATTTAATGTTCTTCCCCTCCTATCTCCACCCCTTTTATTTCCTCTTCCTGTCTAACCGCCTGAGCTAGTGGCTCTATAAACGATGCAAAAAGACTCGGTGAGAGGCAGGATCCCTGTCTTGTTCCTCTCCAGAGTAAATCTTCCTGACAGGTTGCCATTTATTTTAATCCTTGCAGTTGGCTCCTGATAAATTGATTTAATACAATTTACAAATGTCTCATTAAATCCAAATTTTTCTAAGAGCTTATACAAAAAGTTCCAATTGAGACTGTCGAAGGCTTTTTCCGCTCTATACTTATCAGAACTGCCCCCTCCCCTCTTCCTTGCAGATGGTCTATGATGTGAAGAGTTCTCCTTATATTGTCTTGTGTTTGTCTTTCCTTTATAAAACCAGTTTGATCCTCATCAATTAAATCTTGCATTAAATTTTCCATTCACAGTAAAAAAAATGCTGGGTTATTTTCATAACCCAATTTCTGGGTTGAAGCTGTTGGGTCATAGGTTGGGTTAGTTTGACCAAATATTGGGTCAAAATTCATAACTCATGAGTTGGGTCAGAAATTTACCGGAAGTCTACATCTTGAACACTTCTTTTGGGGCAGGAGTTGGGTAGATTTACCCAAACGGTTGGGTTAAAGATGAAACTTGGAAGAAGCCACGCCCCTCTTCACAAGCCTCCATTTTCAACAAGACTGTGAACGTTGCATATCGGACTTCTCCTCTACTTTGAAACAAGACATGGTAAGTAAAAAGAAGATAAAGTTTCAAGGTGAATAGGATTTTATAAATAAATGGATGTATTTGAAACATGTTTGATATTTATTTTCATGTTTTTTAAAAAATGTTTATTACGGTAGGTTGCTCTGACAAAGAGCTTCGGTGTTGCTACAACACGGCTGTTGGAAAAAAAAAGATGAAGGGGAAGGGCACAATTTGTCAAGTAAATTAAATTCAATTTTTAATATAACCTCAACCATATTTGTTTGCAACTTAACATGTTCAAATGTTTAAAAATCGATTTAGTTTTAAAAGAAAAGGTAGTTGACGGTTTGTCCCCTGATTTTTGCAATATGCGCGCGCATCCTTAGCGGGCTGAGGCTACGTGTTCGAACACCAGCAGTAATGGCGGAGGAGAGCGAGCAGAGCTTTAATAATGTGGGTATATTATGCTTTTTGAAAATAAAATAACTTTTGCAAAGTTATTAGGCGATAAATTAGTTGTGTAAACCTGAATTATGCGCTCGGTTTATTAACATATAGCTTAATTACAAACATGCTCGGACGTGTTCGCACTTATCGCTCCCCTCCAGCCGCCGGCTCGTCTCGCCCTCTGTCAGTTGACCGGGCGGAGCGGCTCGTTAAGCCGAGAGAGAACGACCGTCTCCCGGCACATTGCTTTCAAACTCCCGCTGGTTTTAGGCAACGAATTAAAAGCAAAACTAAGACAATATCTAATGTTAATGTTTGCTCATTTTATTATTATTGTTACTATTAATTACAAATACATTTATTTAAAGTTGGTGCTGAAAGTTATTCAGCACTAAGTTCGTGTTATATGTGTCATTTTATTTTATTAAGTGCTATATTTATTTTTAGGAACATAAAATTACTCTGAACATTTGAAATTGCTGGCTAATTACAAGTTATTTGCAGTGGAGACAGCTATAAGATTTAATTCAGTCATTCTTAAAGTTTGATTTGTGATTTTGTCTTTTCTGATAGATTTTGTAATTTTACATCCAGGATCTTCAGGAGAATTGAGCAAAACCCAAACTCCTTGTTCTCAACAAAGACCTTCTGTATGGCCAAGAACATGAGTCTGCTCCCTCAAGGTATTGAAGCTCAGAAGAAATGTTCTCTAAAATATTTTTCATGCTTTTTAGTTACTGTAACTAGGTACCGGCAGCCAATTTTTTTTCTTTAGATTTTTGGTACTCTAAATGCATTTTTCTACTAAGTGTATTACCAGAAAAGAGCAGAAAAAATTTCAGCCCATTATCTCTAACGGTTTTTGAGATTTTGGGGGTTAGGTGTACCTTCCCACAAACGCACCTTGGAGTAGAAAAAGATGTGGTTTTTGAAAGTCGATTACTCAAAAAATAAATCAATT